CTTGGATAATCCATGACGCCTGATATCACAATATAAAGATGACTATCATGCAACTGCATCCCAAAACAGAAAGACAACTATGAAAGACTAGAAAGCACACGGATGTAAAAAAAAAAAAACACAGGAAGCTCAACATCACGTTCTATGCATCAGGTACCTCCTTTCTGCCTGATTTGTTATCTTGATGAAGTCAGCAGAACCCATTCAAGCAGGCTGTGGCAAGTACAGCAAACAAGCACATACAGTAAGATGGGCCAGATAATATTTCTGCAGTTAAAATCTGCCTTTTATTCACTAACATCGCAATGACAACTGTTGAGCCTGTCCCAACCTGCTCAGTCTAAGCAACATCCCAAAGGCCCTCATCTCACCGATACAGTATACTGTAGATGTGTTTTCCTGACATAACGAAACCTTGTCACGGTACATGTTTTGTACATTTTTCACAAGGTTGTTTGAGTCCAATGCAGAAGATGAAAAAAGAGACAATCCTTAAGGAGGAGCAGGGAGAACAAAACATAATGAACGTTTCCATTTCTCCACGTCCTGCCTGCAGCTACATGCATGGTCCAAACCTTAAATCTACACGCTAAAATCAACAGGAAAACAAAACCAGCTTCTCCTCTTGACGAGTGAAGAAGATGAGCAATTGGAAACTCATCCTTTCACTAAAGTGACTGAGTGAACAGCTGTGGAGCACAAAACGGTGTGGTGGGAGATGGAGGAGAAGGAGGAGGAGGGGGAGGAGGGAGGGGGTCCCTCTCCATGACTTCTCAAAAGGAAAACAGAAAACAGAGCAGAATGGAGAAATGAAGCAAGCTTTGAACGAGGGGTTGCGCAAGACAAACACTTCCCACTGTGGGGCTGAACTGTTATTGTAAGGTCACTTGTAAGGTTCCAGCAAGGCGGACCCTCAGCCCCCCCATATAGGCCCCTTTCCAGTCACTCAGTCCAAGGGTGTAACACAGCAGCCTGAACTGTGGATCCTAACAACGTCCAGTGTCATCCCCAAATTGATGTGAAATCATAAACATCTGCTCTTCACACATCTGTTAAATAAAGTGTATTGAGTCACACACAGTCATTTATCATCTGAATGGTGTTTGCCTGGCTCCTCCATAAGGCACTGTCTAGGCAGCTCCATGGGTTTTGGGCAGGTTAATGAGAGCAAAAGGAATTCTATTTAACTGACCCCAAATGCATTCAGCAAGCAGGAAGAGTGTGTGTGGTCTGAAAACACTCCTGGAGCCAACTGCCCAAACAAACTAATGAGCATTGTACACACACAGACCTTCATATGATTCAATGGGGTTTGCTTGTTTTGAAAAGAGGAAGAAAACTAAATTCTCCTCCTGTGCATTGAAGCATTAGCATACAGCTGGAAATGACAAACACTGAAAGCGGACAATACCTTGTTGAAACTCCACATGAATGCTAATTGAAGAGGCCATTAAAGTCAGTCAATGAGGGGAGTGTTGCTCACGGGGATTATATGACCCTGCTAAAGTAAACACCAACTGACCTCCATTATGACTACTTATCACAGCTACAGCCCTTTCCTTTCTTTCCCCTCGGAGGGGTGAAGTCTGACACATTCCTCCCCACCAATGTTTCCTCTGTGCGCTGATAGATGAGGAACATGGATTGCTACAATGGTGGTAACATGACTTCCGTGATAGAAACAGGGGGATCGTAGAGGAATGAATATTATTTCCACCTGGTGTGGAGGGGGGGGAAGAGGTTGAGCGGGGTTGTTGAGTTGTTGGTGTACCTCTGAGGTTTTCCAAATTGCCCTGTGCTCCTTGGATGTCTCATTATCATGACTGTTCTCAGGGTAATTTCAGCCTGCTTAATAAAACACATGCATATATTCAGACGCACGAAAGCGAAAGCGGCGCCCACTCGTAACTTCTTCTCACGCACCTCTAAATGGCAGCGCCTCAGTAAAGAGAGTCCCTCGTCTACTGTGAGTTCTAATAGATGCCTACAGTCTGCAGGGATGGATGAGGAGTGTTTCAAATTAATTACTGCTGCCCTGTCCAACCTGGGGGACCACTGCATGTAATAATCCATCCATTGTTCTCCACAAATGGACCCAGACTCAGCAAATAGGGGCTACCCCGGGCTGAGAAAGGCTGGGTGGGATTAAAGGTCAGCTCATGCCTTGTTTTAACGACAGCACATTAACTTAACTTACTTCCTTCGACTTTACACTGGTAATAAATGGGAGGAAATGCAAAGAGAAGCAGGGGGAAAGAAGGGGGACGTGTGTAAGAAGGGTGGCAGGAAGTGTCTGCTTTGCAAAAGAGAAAATTGGAGGTGATGTGTTGAAGAGCCACTGAGACTAGAGGTGAAGTAGAAGATGAGAAATGTTTTACTTTACTCTTAGAACAAACTAAGCATCTCATGAAACTGATTGTATTTCTAAAACTCTGAATGGAGCATTGAAGTGTGTGTTGGGGATGGATTGTATAAAACACAGCAGAGCAGCCATGCTAAATCCTCAACAAAATAAACAGCTTAGCTCACAAGCCAGAAAACCACTTTTACACTTTCTGACTATTCGGTTATGTTCGTTATGAAACCATGATGTAACTCTCCTATAAAATTGTATATTTTCCGACGGGGTTGCAGAGCGGTTTGCATGCTCTTAACTCCACCAGGCGAAGCGGCTCCAGAGGTGAAGCAAACATGTGTTTGATAAAACACATGATAAAAAAACAAGAAATAAAAGCTGAGTCATATACATTCACAAAAACACACTGTACTTGATGCCTGTTTCTAATTAAAAACACATCAGTATTCAGTGTGTGTTCATTGTTAGACACCTGGTGCCTCTGTGTTTCTCCCAGGGTGCATTTCTGCAGATCCATATGTCCAGGCTGCTGCATTCTTCAGTTGGTGGAGCCCAGTGGTCCCCGGGCCTGTCACCACATTAGAGGCTCTGCTGGGACACATCACTGAGCACCTCCTCCAGCTGCTGAGGGTGGCCCGACACCAGAGGGGGAGGAAAGAAGGCGCTGTGATGGAGAGGAAGTGCAGGGGTTCCTCTGGGGGGGGGGGTCTTAAGGAATAATTCTTGCTTGGCCAGTCGCAAAGTTGTGGCAGTGGAGAGAGGGAGGGTCCATATGTGCGTGTGTGTGTGTGGGCAGGGGGTCCAGGGTCAGATGTCGCTCGATGACTGACAGCAACAGGCTTAACATCGTTCACCCAAACTCACTGTCTTCTGGTGCGTTGACTTGAAAGGTTTGGTAAGTAACACTTCCCATGTGTTTTTACTGTTTCACACACAAGTCAGCGGGGGCCTGTCGTTTATAATTTAATTTACACTTGTCAAAGATGTCATCATGCATTGTTAAATGTTACAGGAAGAGTTTTACAGCTTTCCTGGCTTCGGCTGCACTATAACAGCACAAGTTTCGAGTCAAACCCCGACTGTATTTCACAGCTTGTCAGAGTCAAGCTGTTGCATTTGGACTGTCACACAGAGCTCACTGTATTGCTGCTGCTGCTGCTGGAGGGAGAACTGTGGAATATTTATTCTTCACAGTTTTGTCAAGCATCATTCAAAATCATCTCACTGCCAACTACATATTTTCTGATGTGTCTATCCGTCTGTGCATATGCAACCACTTTCAGGGAAACTCTGAAAAACAGGCTGCAAATTCTTCCTTTTCTCAGCCATTAATTCAATTAACATGCATTGGACCTCCACGTTCCCATTTGGATTCCTCGTGCAGTGACATCTGTTAATCTGTAAACATACAAAATTGCCCGTCTAATCTTATTTAGCCCTCACGTCTTGTTTACTTTTGGTTTAGTCGTGCCGTGAAGGCATGGCTGCCACGCTGTGAATAAGGCATTGTCTGCAGACCCACAGATCTAATCTCCCCCTCTAAACTGCCATCAACCCCTCCTCTACCTTGAGCCCTGATAGCCACATGCAGGTATTGTAGCCATCAGACGCCTGTTGAATTCACTCCCATGCTGAGCAGGAGAAGAAAGAGAGCGCTATGGAGCCTGCTTGTTGTACCAGTGTGTGATCTTCCGGGGAAATGGGTCTGGCTTTCAAATTTCTTTCTTTAAAGTGTATTTTCAAGTTTTGGCTCGGTCTTTGACTCATGCCGCTGGATTGCATCAGACACGGTTCAATAGCCAGTGATGGTGGATGAAATCATAGAAATTGCCTCGACAGTCGTTCATGACCTGTTGACAAGCTTACTGTAAGTTGTCTTTATAAAGAAAAGTATTGATCGTGGCACAATACACACTGCAGTGAATTGTGGTCAGACTGAGGTCTCCACACACACACACACACACACACACACACACACACACACACACACACACACACACACACACACACACACACACACACACACACACACACACACACACACACACACACACACACACACACACACACACGCACACACACACACACACACCACACACACACACACACACACACACACACACACACACACACACACACACACACACACACACACACACACACACACACACACACACACACACACACCACACACACACACACACACACACACACACACACACACACACACAGCTGTGAGACAGTCCCTTGGACAGCGGAGGGAGAGATTGACTTGTGTTCTTTCACCCTGGGAAGCTGATGGATGATGTTTGTTTGGTTTAGCTTTAGTGAATGTGCACACACACACACTCGGCCATGACTGAAACACACACAAACTAGGGGTAGGGGGTTGGCTTGCCCTCTCTCATTCCCCAGCCCGGTGTTGATTTTGGGCCATGTTTAGAGATGTTTTAGTTCCTAGTTTTCCGTCTCTTACTTCTCGGTTCGAAAACGTTAAGGGCTTTCTGAGACTTTCTTCATGCTCACAAGAAACTGGTCAGTCAACTTGAGTTATAATGAGCTATGAATGTGGTGTTCACTTCCAGGTTTGAAACACGCAATACTAGTTAGGAAGAAAGGAACATTTATGAGGAAAGTCTCTTACCTCTTGCGCAGTCGGTCAGTAAAACAACCTTGAAGATAAACAGCACTATCTTCAGGAAGCCCATGCTGTCCAAAGATAACTTCGTGTCCCCCAAATCTGAAAAACACATGTCACAGTGACACAGGGTATATGCACATTATTCTCCATGGAGCTATCAGAGGATGTAGGGAAAATAATCTTTGTTGTGAAAGGAAGCCATTTCACATAGTAAGATTTAAAATAAACATACTACAACACTTATATGAAATAAAACAGCATGATACACACAAGTCAATACATATAGGACTATTATTAATTGCAACTGGATTTTCATGTCACTAAAAACTTTTCTTTCGATGGACAAAGTTTTTTGAGGAACTTTATTTTTTCAGACTCCTGGGACTTTTTGCAGTCCGTTAAAATGAACCCAAAAATAATTCAATTCAATATTTTTTTAAAAGCATTATAAATCCATTACAATACATGATCAAAACGTAAGCACCATAACATAATGTGACAGTGATTATTCCCTCCAACAGAGAATCAGTTATGGGATCTATACTATCCACATACTTTTTGGGTCCTTATAAAATTAAAAAGTGATTTATATGTTGGCTACATATATTCAAATTGCTAACCAAGGACTATAAATACCACTTTATGTGAACTTCAGTTTTAGTTTGTTGATCTTTGCTCAGAGGAACACTGATGCTGCTCACTTGTAGCTCGGGTAAGCATGTAAATAAAAACATTTTACAACAAAATGGAGGAAAGGACAGCATTATAATGTCGGATAACATAGCCTACCTGGATATTCAATGAATGAAGTCAATCTCTCGTCAGACTCTTGACAGAAGTGTTTTTAGCTGAAGTCCGTGTTGAGCCCATGAATCAAAAGTGACAGTGGTCGATTTTTCACCGACTTCTACTAACGGTACAGCACGCCGCTGTCTCCTACATAAAATAACGGACTCAGAGACGGAATAATACCGGATACTTCCATGAAACACAAGAAAAGTATTATACGCTAATGTTTGAAATCTCTGTGTTGGCTGTGTACTCCGCTTCGTCCACCAAGTGACTTTTCCACAGTGCGCACACAGCGGAGGCTTGTTGTCTGTCCCTGCGCTGCCGCGGCGGGCCAATCACATTCACGGAGGCCGGACACGTTTAACTCTTCATCTCTCAGCCACACACACCTCTTCATCACAGGCCATCATCCTCACCGCCGTCAGCCTGATGTACGAGAAAAGAGATAACAGCTGTAGAGATTTAAAAAAAAACATACCACACCAAAACACTGCAAAATGAAGTCCTCATGGCAAAGGGAGAGTATTAAAATAAATATGTTAGTGCTGTTCTCCAAAATGAGATTACAACCCTTTTAGCAGGGTTAGTTATTTTTGACAGACTCCATTTTAAAGTATTTAATTAAGAATGTGACATTCAAACCACGTCTGGAATAAAACAACTTAAAAAAAAAAATGTTTTAAAGGTAAATACAGTAAAAAAATAAATGGTTAAGTACTGTACCTCTCTGAGCTGTGACTATGATTAACACCATTGTATTACCACGCCATAAAGAAGTCCTGCCATCTAGTGGTCACCATAGAGAACAAATCAGTTTCCACAATAATTCAGAGATTCACCAGCAATATTCACTTATTATATTGTTAGAAGCATTTAGTTGTGAGACTGCTCTTTTTGCCTCCAATCTAGTGCTGAATTTTGGGGTCTTGAAAGGGGTTTCTCTGCCTGTCCAGTATGGTGTTCTGTTACAATTGGATCATATCTTCCATTTTTGTGAAAATTCAAATAAAACAGCAAAGACTGAGACATCCTGACTTTTGGTCTCTAGTAGGACTGAGGCATCAAAAACCCCAGATCCTACACACACTGCAAAGTACAACCAACAACACAGTTTATTTGTCCCCTCCATGTCTGGTAAACATCTTCTAATCTCCATTCCCTCATGTTTGTAGCACAAACATTCTGTTTAAAAGTGTTATCTTCATTGCATGGCCAAGAAAAGAACAACTTTCTTTAGAAAACTCCCTCCAGAGCCACAGAGGAAAGTTAACGACTATGTTCACAGGCTGAAGTGGTTCCTCATGACAAGTAAACTGTATTAAGTTATGTGGAAAAACTGAAGCTTGAATAATGTGTCATTACGGCTCCCTATAAAACTCAGAAATTCAGTTAGGGAGGGTGTTGCTCATTTGATGAGTAGGCCCATGATTACTACTCAAGTGGCAGAAAATAAACTGGAACCTCAGAAAGCCTCAGGCTGTTAAAGAACATCTTTGGAAAATATTTATTTAGTCTAACTTCAAATTAAAATGTAACTATTATTACACTTTTCAACCAACAGTTCCTGTCGCCTAAAAAACAATCAGTTTGTGATTGGATACAAATCAAGTGACACTTGAGTTGCATTTCTTGAATCAACCGTATTGATAGCTTGATTCGATAACACTTTATAGCATGTGAAGCTCTACATCAATATGACTTTACCCATCATAGACCTGGCTTTTTATGCATAATAGACTTTATTGGTCAGTAAGCACTGACACATTTCAAAGCAGAATTCCAATGGTACTTTGCTGTAAAAGGGAAGAGAATAAGTCATCAGTCGACACTTTATACAGGAAAAAGTAATTTATTTCAATATACATCGCATTTAAAACTATATAACATTATTTGTTTGTTGATTATTTTACACAGCTGTTATCATGGAAATGTCCTTGAATTTTACAAAATAAGACCAAGCTCTGAAACAATAAGATAACTGGCCTTTTAATTACTGCATGATTCCTTGTATTTTACATTAAAGTATTTATAGCTTCATGTAGTTCATACATAATTTTTGTTCTTTATAAAAGGAAAAAAAACATTTCAAAGTTACTTTATATGTTCTTTGATGAAAATAAAATTGATCCAAGACTTGTGAAGGATGTTGATTATGTAATGCCTGAGAACTGCTTTATATCAGAGCAGAATTGACAGGATGTGTTATTTATGTTGCTCCAAGGTACATATTTGTAGATTGGACACTTCCGCCCATTTAGATGTGCACATTGTGATATATGATGAGCATGGAAGGTACCTTGTATGCAATGGAAGCAGATTCAAGAGCAGAAAGGAAGTCAGGTATAAATTATGTCAGTCTGAAAACAAAATCACCTAATATCCACTCAAAGTATCACCAGAGCTGAAGCTTGAAATAATTTAATGTAAACCCAAAACAGCGTAATTGATCAGAATTGGCCTATAAATACAATTGAAATAGCTTAGTGTTGTCTCTAAAATATGCAGGACCATTGCTGTTAGTAGTCAGAATATTGCACTATAACAAGTGTGAGGAAGAGAAATCAATGGGCAATAATCGGCCTGTAGTCTGTAGGCCATCACCTGAGAAGGCCTCTGGTTCAGAACAAACATGGAGCGAAGACAGGTCAACTCTCCACTAGGGGGCCTCCAAGATCCTGACAGCGATGACTAAGGAATCCCTTTCATCCATCAGTGTGCAGCGGAGTCCCCAGAGAACACTAAACATGCCGTGGTGCAACTGTAAAAGCATCGGGCACAGCCCAATGCCATCAAGAGGTGCAACTTGTTGGAACCTAGACTCCGGTTCACAAAGTGATACAGACTAACACATTCATTGCCATTAAAAGCATGAAAGAATCGCAGTATAAAAGCTGTTTGTCATTCTTGCTTTACTGGGACTGGTAGCCTGGTAAAGACTGCGTTCTAGTGCCCTTATAAAAAGCAATTCTTTACTGGAGACATGGTAGTGTAGCTTAACCAGAAATATCCTTATTTACATAGTAATCATGACTTACATTCTTTTGAGTGATCCATGTCCCGTAGGAACCCTGGCACAAATGTAGGAAGCTCGCAAAAGCATAGGAAAATATGTCACAAGTCCTTTCATTTTCACCCAAAGCAACATAACAAACTAGGTGGCACGTTTTGATTTTGTGCTGCAAGCTGCTACAGAGGACTGATGCACATTGCCAGTTCAAAATCTGTTATTGCCTGTTTATCCCCTCTCTCTTTTGCGCCTCTTCAGTCAGACAGGCATTTGTGAATCATTTTTGTGTGTTGGCTGGGCTCTGAAATTAAACCCTCTGGCAGCCAGTCTCTCCAAAGCAGCGGGTCGTATCATCACTGGAGTCTGCGTGTCTCTTGGCTCTGCTCTGTCATCTGTAATGGCCTCCCTCTGCAGCCTTGCTGAGCAGATAAGATGACGACCATTACGTTTTCCAGAGCAGTGTGGCATTTGCTTTGTGCACAGCCCTGGATTGTTCGTTGCATATGCTTGTTGTGGCGGACTTTGTGCTTTCGGGGACATGCTGAGTTTAGATGCCGGCCTTGTCGCTGTAGAAAGGCGTGACATGAAACATGTAGCAGTGTGTGCAAACCCTGACTGGCTTCACCTGGCCATACCGCGGGAGAGGAGCAGAGTGGGAGGAGCAGCGAGAGCAGAAGATCTGAAATGACAAAGAATGTAATGTGTATCAACTACACATTTAACTGATAATAATTATATTTCTATTTTTTTATCTTACGGTGCATGCACACTGTACTCGAGCAATGAGCATGAACAGTTTATAATCTTTTGTCTCTTTTTTGTGAACAATGTCATGTCCTGGTTTTTTTTCAACAATGTTGCATTTTGATATAGTCACAGTTAGTGTTAAATGACGTCATTGTCTTGTCTTAGACATGAAAAAAAAGGTTGATGACGAACATATTTAGTAGTTTTTGAAATCAAGATCAACACTGCCTCAGACTGAGAGTCACTGTACCTTTCCACAGCTCCTACAGTGATGCTTCCTGCGGATGACAGTGAAGGGAGCCTTGCAGGCAATGCAGGAGTTGCAGGCTTCATCAGGGACCCAGTCTGGAGGGTCTACAAAGAGAGAAACGGTTAACACCAGCAAATCTGCTGCAGAGCAAAGGGAGGGAAGGGATGTAGTAATAATATAAACCCAGAGTGGTTCTGTTTGTTGATTTTCTGACCTTCAAACTGGCCTTCCCGGGCCTTGGCTGCCAACTCCGAGGAAGAAATGGTCTCCTGACAGAGAGCGCAGTCCTCCAGCACGGCATTACGCAGAACAGGACCTGCTGGATACCACAGAAGAAGAAACTCAAACCGGTGTACTGAGCATTAAATGAAGATCACTGACAGAGGGAGAACAATTTACAGAGGGAGGAGGGGGATTGGAACGGGGGAGAGGGTATATATATGTATATGTATTGTTGTGTTGGAAAAACAAAATGCCCAACAAATATTTTTGTCAATGAATAGGGTGAAGTGTGGGATTGAGTGATGCTGCGATGACGGGTCAGTTCAACAATTATGTGCTGAAAATATTTATAGCTAAATATCAAATCGTTACAAGCAGATTTAATATCTTGAGAAACAGAGGCAATAAAGTTTGTCTGCTATGGCCTCTGGACCAGTAACACATTTATTTTCTCGTAGTTCAGTTGAAGACATTTCAAATGTTGTTTTAGTCGCACTAAGGCTGTTCTATCTATATTTTAAAAGTGGCAATTTACTGTAACATTCCCTTTCAAGACGTGTATCTCACCTTTCTTGTGGTTATCGTCGTCTCCCTCCTCACACTTTGTTGCCATGACTTCAAACAGAGTCTTGAGGATGCTGCGAAGGTCACTAGCATAGTTGGTCTGCAGCTGATCAGCAACGCCTGCATCACACCAGAACACGCAATGGTTATCAGCACGAGAGAAAAGAGAGTTTGGGGGGGGGGGAGCGACTGACATCGTGAGAGCTTTTACCTGATATACAAACAAAGAGGCGGTGGATGAGGTCGCTGCTGCTGTGGAAGCGTGATCGGATCTTGTTCCTGGCGGCCAACTTTGCATTTTGCAGAGCCAGCTGGATCTCCTGATGGTCCAGGTCCTCTGACATCCCTGAGCTGGGGGTCAGACTGCTGACAGGGCTGCAAGGAGTGGTGAGAGACAGGAAGAGATTGTCATTACAAATATTCTATTCCTAGTTCATTCATTTCAGATTGTAATCTTTAAGTAAAACAAATATGAATAATGCATGTGAAATAAAAAGTAAACAAATCTGCTCCCTACATGCTTCACAAAATGGCAGAAAATTGCTGTTCATTTCCAATTCTTTCTGAATAATAAACTTGTAAATCAATACTACGCATCTGTCTAATTAAATCTACAGTCTAAGGAGCCAAGAGGCAAATGAATGCTCTCACCTGTAGCCCATATGGGAAGGAGTGACTGACACTTCAATCGATTACTGAATGCGAACAAAGGACTTCATCTATCATGCATGATCTCAGTTATTAGCTACTTCTTTGAGCGTGGGCAATAATAAAGGCACAGATGTGTCGGTGTAACACTTTCATGAGTGATGAGTTACCTGGGAGTGTATGCGCTGCTTGACAGACTACATGTGGTGACCGACACACTGTCACAGTCACTACCTGACACAGAGCTGAGGGGAGAGCTCTGAAAACTAAAAACAACCAAATAAAGAGTTTTTAAAAAAAGTAGTGAAATCATAAAAGAAGAACAGAATAAAATGAATAAACATAATTGCAAATGGAATGTAATAAAGGCATCGTAAGACGACAGACGATGGATGAAAACAACAACAAATATATGATGAAACATGGTGAAATAAAACAGATTTATATGGTGATACAAGATTGTGTCGAGATCACAAGGCCGAAATAAATCAAAAGGCTAATAAAAGCACAAATGACATCATACTTTCTCCTGTTGTCCTCTTTGATGTCCCTCTTGGAGTCTTTAATTCCCGATTTGTCGTTATCCGTCTCCCTGTCCCTCTGCTGGCCTCCACTGGCCTGCTGTCTCTTATCATTCCTCAGCTGGTGGTTGCACAGGGAGGGTCCGTCCCCTCCGAGGTAGCCGCAGTCCTGAGCGCGATGCCCCGGCCCCGGAGCCACGGCCAGGCACTTCTCACGGAGCGGAGACTTTGAACCCTCCTCGAGGGTCTCTGCAGAGCAGCGGGAAGAAGGGGGAGTCAACTGGGCCAGATCTCCCTTACTGTGAGGATCATGACCTCGTGGGGGCAGCCGGCAAGCGGAAGATTGTATGACAGAGCTCGGGACGGCGGTCTTAGAGTGTTTATCCAACCCCAGAGTGAGGCCTAACCCGAGTCCAGAGCTCTCTGTGGGGATGTTGTCTTCGTGGGCGTCCTCACAGCTCCCACAACACACACAGGAGTTGAGCAGGCAGTGAGTGGCCACCAGGGGGCCGCAGGGCTCGACCTCAGAGGGATCGGGCCTAGGCAGCAGCAGCTTGTCCACAGCAAGCTCCGTCAAGCTGGGGGAGCGAGGGTTGAAGATGACCGTAGCAGACAGCTTCATCCCACCCATGCGGTGCGCGATGACCTCCGCCGTTTCAGACGCCGGGCCCTCCAGACCCATCTCCCACCCGTTGGTGTAAGGCAGAGATTCAGAACCGGGAGTAGAAGTGCAAGAAAGGGAGCGCTTTGTGTTGGGACAGAGTGCGTTCAGGCTGCGCGGCTGTGGGCACGGCTGCTCCGACTGCGCCTCTGAGCACCAGCCGTTCCTGGTGGGGTCTGGCCGAGGCCCCGGTTTGCGCTGCGCAGGACGAGCAGACTCTGCTGTTTTGGAAGGAGAGGAGATACTAACGTAGGCCTCTCTTGAAATGCTGGTGATGACGTCTCCTGGCACGTCCAGGTCCTCCATGAAGAACACCTTGTCCTCCTCCTCTACATAGATGCCTGTCCTTCCCCGACTCACCAGGTACCTGCGGGGGGAGGCCTCCGTGCTGGACGCCCCGCTGGAGCCCCCCGCCTCTCCTCTGTGGGGGCGGTGTGCCGGGGACTGACCCTGGCTGGGAGGAGACAAAAGGGTGGACATCTCGTCTCCCACGCGGTACACCATCATGTTGAGCTGCTCCAGCTCCTCCTCGTCGTACTGCATGGAGCATGCCAACTCTGCCTCCTCCGCCTCCTCACACAGTAGGCCCTGCTCCTGCTCCACCTCCCCCTTCTCCGTTTCCACCTCCTCCCAGCCCTTCTCTACTTCTGCCAGCTCCTCCTCCTGGTTGGCACAGACAAACGGAGCCAGGTGCTCCTGCTCCCCCTCACTCTCCCCCTTGGAGTTGTCATTAGCAGGGCAGCAAGATGAGTGGTTCTCTTGGACTGGAGCTGGAGAGCTGTCTGTGGCCGGCTCCTCGTCTATGGACTCCCCGTCCTGAGAGATACACAGGTTCCTCTCCAGTGTGATCAGCTCTTCATCACTCAAGGTCTGCAGCAAGTCTCTGTAAAACATCCCAAGATAGTTTTTATATTGTGAAAAAGATCATTCAAAAAGATAGAAATATTTTTTAATTCAATATTGACTTACCTGATTTTCTTTAATAAAGTGCGAAAAGGTCGGAAGAGCTCAGACATGTCCTCTGATTTGCGTTCTAGGTTGAGAGGTCCGTCTGAATACACAACCAGTCCACTGAAAATAGATTTAAAAGTCTTATAGAGACAGGAAAGAGCAGAACAAAAAGAAGTGGGCAGAAGAATGGAAAAGACACTTACCACACAATGGCTAGTCGGGGAATTGTAAACATGAGTGCAGGTTCGTAGTCATCGATCATGTCCTGTGTGAGATAGCCCAGCTTTAGGGACCTAGGAAAACAAAACAGGGAAAAATACATTATACAAAAATAATCACATTATCTACAGATAGTATTTAAATTCTGGTAGGTTCCAGATAAAGTAAGCAGTAGACTCCAAATTCTTCAAGATGTTTCTCTGTGAACTCACCTATCTACAGTCTCACAGAAGAGCACAACCACCTCCTGCTGTACATAGTATTCTTTGGGAGACTTCACAGGCACCATGGCTGACACATAGCTGGCAATGGAAGAAAAAGACAGTAGAATGTGATGACTTCTCAATTTTCTTCAACATTTTTGGCAAACTTGCACCCAAGGGTTGTAAAAGATGATAAACGCAGATTAATCGTATTGCTACATTTGCCAATAACGCCTGCAATGTTGTCATTTACCTGAGCTCAAACTCAGCAAAAAGGCTGTCGAAATGCCGCAACGCGTCCTTCATGCGGTCCGTGTACAAGTTGAGGTCCCTCAGGGCCTGGTCTCTGGTGATGTTGCGAACCTCCTCCAGGCTGCGAGTGAGGTCCTTAGCCAGGGGCCTCATCGCTATACTCTCTATCTCCCTGTTCATGATGATGGAGCCGGCGGCCAAACACTGCACAGGAACACATCACGTCATTAATCATCTCGCCTTGTATGGAATTTAAACTGAATAAAAAAACGTTTATAATGGCCAAATGACATTCAAGAAACATCGCATTTCAACAATTAAATACAATATTTTTATGCACAGGTGTAGGACTTGTGCAAGGTTGTTTTCTCCTTGACAGATGCTGGAGGGAATACACTACCTCAGCCCCAAACCACAGCTGCCCGGCCAAGTTGTCATGACGAATCTCCTCAGGGAACTTGACGCAGAAGTCTCTGTTGGCCCGCTCGTCGGGAATACATTCATCCATAATCTGGTTGATAATGTTCAGCACATTGTCCTGCAGATGAGAGACAGGAAATCAAATTGAACAAACTAGTTGGAGGGGTAAACATGATTGAGGTTAACTTTGAATCACTAATATTTGTTCCAGGCTTCACTTATCCTAAAAAGGCCACTGTATTACAGTGTTTAAAGACCATTCATTAGAAAGTCAATGAAAACAAATTGACAAGTACATGAGACCATTACACAGCTACACTTCCCTCAATAAAAACACAAAAATAAAGCACATCATTCCAGCAGTGAAAATGCAGTGTCACACGCAGCAAGAGCTAATCAAGGGCTTATGTGCCGCTGGTGTGCACAACAGCCATAACAATGACTTACAATGAGCCTTTCACTCAACCGCAGCTGCACTGTGCACTGTAATCTCATCAGGCACAGCACTGCGTCTTTCTGTGGCCCTGAGGAGAAAGATTATAAAGCTTTGAGAAGTAGAGCTTAACCACTGATTCCTTTATGGCTGTGTGCTGTGTCCCCCCCGAGGACCCACTGTCTGCGAGGGTCTCCCAGCGGGGGACACTGATGATAACCTTCACTGCTGGCGGTTTCAAATCACCCAGATGTGGCGACTGCCGTGATACCTGTGTCCGACAGAAGACTGGCTTCTATCATTTTTGCAGTCTACCTCTCAATGTTTTCAATATTTCTCACTTATTCTGCTTCTTGGTCTCTCGTGTGCGCCTTCTGATCCAATCTGTGTCCATCTCAAACACACACACTCCCTCGCCTGTTCCAGCAGGCCGCACCACAGGAGCAGCCGTGCCAACATAATATGAGCAGCATGCCAGAGACCCCCACTGAGGCCCGTGAGTAAGAGCTGATAGCAGCAGTGACAGGTTCAAGTGCAACTTTTTGGCGTGAGTGCACTTGCCTACTATTCTTGGGGCCTCTGGGCTGTGGCAGGGTATCATGCTGCCTAATTCATTCTCCATAACCCTTGAGGAGGCATGCCACTGAACAGACCCCTCTCTGAACACACAAGTGTTTCTGTTAAATGTTTTATACTGCAAACTGCAGGGCGACAAATCAGACACTAATTTAAGGTACATCCTAACAAGAAATAGTCTAGGGTTGCAACCGAAGATCATTTTTAATATTGATTAATCCAAAGATTATTTTATTTAGTTTATTCGATTAACAGTGGGGTCTTCGTATAGTAAAACATCGTAATCCCGGTTTCTCAGTGATTTCCAAGGTGATGTCTTTGAATGTCTGGTTCTGTCAGTCTCAAACTCAAAGATATTCAGTTAAATATATTATAAAACAGAGAAATCAGGAAATTCTTATTTAAAGAATCTAAGTATGTATGATGTTGAAAAGCATGAGATCAATGAAAGGAAAAATAAACGGCTAATAAATACCAAAGAAAAGCAAGCTGGAAGATTGGCAGAGCGAAGGGTGGAGGGTAAAAAGAGAACAGTCGGGGATCAAGTGATGACCTTATTAAGTGTTTCTCCCCTGTGTGCTGCGGAGGGGGGGGGGGGGGGGGGGGTAAGGCACAACGGGCCGGATGACGACCTCCCTCCGCCACCTCCAGCTCGCTCAGCAGGGCAGCCATCACTCATGCACAGCAACACCCTCTGGTCCTCTCAGCCCTGACCACATAAAGACCTGGACCCACCTTTACAACCTGAACCTGCATCAGCACAGACACTAGCTGACCATGCATTCATCCCTAGAGTTTCAGTCATAGAGTAAAAACTGAAAGAGAGGTTATATCTGACCTGATTCGTGTTCTTAACACAATTATCGTGATTAAAGCTACAGTAATAAAATGAGACGCCGCTCTTGTAACCATTCACTTCTAACCCACATGGCCAAACAAAGTCTACTTGTCACGTCTTATCAGCAAAACTGCTTTAAGTAGTAAGGAGACTAAGCAATAGTAGTTTCACCAGTCCTGGTTCCAGAAAGTGGTGATAAGGCTGGTGTGTATTTTTGGCTTTCATGTCGAACCCAAAGGTCCAGTTTTAAATAAAGTTTTAAATACAAAACGACAGAGGATTCTGTCCCCCATCACATCCATTGTAAAGCATTAGGTAAGGGTCTCTTAATAAGAATAAGATGGACCTTTCTTAATGGCCAGTTTGAACAGAAATACAAAATTACGGCAAGCATAATGTTCATATGAGCACCTTACATTACATATTTGGCACCATTACTCTAACTCTCCTCGAATTCCAGGGCTATTTCTATGTATTATTTATGATGAATGGATGAAATAACCCTAATTGACAAAGACTGAGCGTTATCCTTAGTGAAATGAAGAGCACAGAAAGATGATGACTTTGTTGGTTTCTCCCTGCTGACCTGACAGGAGCGGAACTGGTTGACAAGCAGCGTGCATCTCTGAGGGTCCTTCCTGCCGTCCAGCCCGTCCAGCTCAGTGGCCACCTGGTTCAGCTCTTCATCAGCGTAGTAGAACTGGGCCAGGAGCTGAGGGTCCGTCCTCTGCTCAGACACACAAAGAGACACAAGGAGGTCATTTTCAATACAGGTGTAGCCGTTTATCAGAAAGAATATAGATGAGGCAATGCACAGATTTTTCAAAACAACACAGAATAGGTTATAGATAAAAAAACACTGCGATAATGAATAACTGGGTTTTCATCCCACCCTATATGTTTTGTGTAAACAAGTTTGCATGCATGCTGTACTCTTCCTATGACCGTGGTATTTCCACAACACAGTAGTTTGCACAAGGGCTGCAACTAAATATTTTTTCATTATTGGATATTGTCATTTGGTTTATAAAATGTCTGAAAATGGTAAAGAGGCCCATAACAAGGTCCTTAAGCACAAGGTGAGATCTTCTTATGTCATGATTTGTCTGACAAATAGTCCAACCTAAAGTGACCCTTTACACAAGACTAAAGAGTATAACAAAAGATTCACTTTTGAGAAGCTGAAACCAGAGAATGTTGTTCCTAAAAACACACACACTTCGTTATTGTCACAGTGAAGTGCCCTTTACTAACTGGTTCTTCAGATACAGACAAAAAAAACATTATCAAAGCTCTAACAGCCAACACATAATCTGAGTCAACCTTACATCTTAAGAAAACACAGTATTAGCAGAGGACATGACTGATTATTAAAGCACACAAGATTTTCTATTGACCAAAATCTGGCCTTTGTTGTCTCGTACAACATGCTATTTTTTAAACGTTATCAGAGGATGACTGAAACTGAATCCTGTGACAGAAATGAAAAAATCCCAGTGTCCAAGACCTCCTAGATGATCTCATAAGGTGAGTAAATTATTCATTTCAGCTGCAAAACTGAAGTCAAGCATCAAGGAAATGAGGAATACAGAGGGAGGTTCATCACTCTTGATGTGCTCTAATGTAACCTTTAAGTCTGATAGTTGCTCAGGGGAAGGCCCTGTGTTCCTTCATCACTCTATTTTCTATGTGTAGTGCAGGAATAACATGGACAGTATTTAGAGCTCTGCATGAGTGAAATACGGTGTGAGGCATGGACAGCTGCCATCTCCAGAACACCAGCTCAATGCTAGGTGGTTTTCTAACAGAGGGCAAGTAAACATAATCATTACTTTTTATGTGTAAGTATATGCTACTACAGCACTTTGGTGTACACAGGTGAAGTATTCAAGTTGCCATAGTTTCCTCCAAATAGGCTACATAGCCAACAATGAATGTAACTCTTAGTCACCATCCGGAAATATATATACTTGTACAAAAAAAAAAAAACGAAGCTGAGATAAAGCGATGTAGAAGGAGCAGTCATGACCAGCACTAGCGTAAAGCATATTACAGAAACACACTTCCAATCTGTAGGACACAATTAAATAAGGTAAGTAGGGCAGACCATCTTAACAGATTGTTGGATTGTTCTTTCATTTGCCCAGCTACTCTGTTGATTTAACAGTACACCAAGTTAATTCATAAAATATAGCTTTAATCCTGATGAGGAGTTGACAAAGGTTAATATAGTGTGAAAGCTCCCCAGAAGAGTGGGCGTAATTAGAGAGGCTGGCCCTGGTAGAGGATTTATGTAATTATCTCCCACCGTGCTCCCTCAGTGTGGGTCGGAACAGCACAGCGCAGCAAATCCCTCCGCTGCTGCGTGAGGAACACTTACTGTACAGCAAAAACACAGAAGGTAGGGAAGAGACACTGACAAACAACAAATGTAAACAACAATGTATCATTTGTATTGCTTGCGTACACCCACGCAAATGCCATTCAAATGTGACAGTGCATCAACAAACACTGTATTCACTCATATACACTCACACACTTCCTAGGGAGAGTTCACGTTGTTCGAAAGGTTAATGGTTTTGAAAATGGCGACCGCATGCCGACGTGTATCATCCATAGACTGTGGTATCATCCCAAACCACGAGCCCCCAATGACGGTACTGGAGCTTAAAGAGGACCGCATGACTGTGCAGAGCTACAACGGTAAACAGGCTCGTTTTAAGCAGAGCGTCCACTGTCTGGAGATGCTTTTTTAAGTCGAACTGCATACTGGTATTTACGGAATCCTCTCACAGGACCGTTTCCCTGAAGTTTGCAGTGCTTCCTGTTGCGTGCTGCTCTCCCTGTGGACCCTCGCCTCTCTCCCTGAATATGATACATGGTGCTGTTCCCTCACTCTCTCTCATTAATAATGAAACAAACAGCAAGGAGAAAACACAGAGATATAACCTACAGCTGGGGTACTTGTCGCATTGTAACTGCGAGGAGGGAAACATATCTTACATTTGAAAGGTTATTTGGAGGACTGAGATGGCTATATTTTGACAATTGGTAACCTTTATTTATAGTGATGTCATGTTTCTGCTGAGAGAACTAGAAGGGTCCTTTACTGTGAGATACTTGAGTTTTCTGCAAGAGCTTCTGTAGGGTGAGTTAGAGAACAGCATGGATTAAAGCAGATGACATTTTCTTCTTGCTAATGGACACATATAGATACTTGCCGACATAAAACCCAGTTTGTCCCAGAGCAGAATTGTCACACCCTCCATTAAGTGCTATTTCTTAATAAGGTCACATACATGCCCTATATATAACTCATCTGGAAAGAATATGAATAGATAGCGACAGTATAATAGCAAGATATACAAATAATCAGCAGCGTGTACTAGTAATATTAATCTTTGCATTGGCACAATGGAAATACCTTTACGATTGTTTTCAAAATGTGTAGGCTAATGGGAAATAACAAAACGGAAATGTTAATTAAAAAAGGAAGCAAGCATCCCACTGTACAGTTCAGGTATTTATCTTTACATCGAAAGGTCATCTGGGAACAGCGAGAAAGTCAATGATGTCATCAGTCAGGAGTCAGATTTGACATGACAAAACAATAAGTGGGTCTATGATAAAAATGTCACGATGACCAAACAGGAAACAAGAGTGGGAGACAGTGAAAGACATTTTTCTAACACAGGCCCAACACGGCCCACAGAGTGGTGGCATTCATGTTGAGATTTATGTTCAACGCTGACGGAGGAAGAGAAGAAGTATTTGAGACAGATGCTATCCTATTGCCTCCTCCTGCTGCATTCCTCACACACGAGGGAACATTCCTGCAGCATTGCATCATGGGGGAAAAGTCAAAGGCAGGCAATGTTCGAGACATGCTGATTTACTTTGAGATAGATCACGATGCTAAAGGAGGCACTCTACAAGTTTAATGTACAGTGGAATTATCATGTATTGAATATTAAAAAGAAACAGGTATGCAAAGACATTTGCATTGCCAGTTAGTCTGCATGGTCAAACTGTTTACTAATGAGGAGACTTAAGTAACTTCATTAAAACAGGTTAAACCGCACAAACTAGACCTGGAGAAGAGATTAGTTATAACTCAACATGTGCACCTACAGTAGTTACTGCCAAGTGTAACAGTTACTAAGTAAAAAGGCTAACGTTACCTGAAGAAAAGGGGTAATGTGATATATGTGATACCTGATGTTAAAATGCAAGATGTCTGCTTACAGAATATAGGTTGGCACAGAGTAAAGTATTGGCGTGGACATGTACTTGAGAGTTTAATGGTTAAAGAAAAGGTGGTCATACAATACTCACATCAATTTAAGAACACAAATAAAAAGAAAATGTACCCTGACAGAGAAAAAAAAAGAGGAAAAGAAACAGAAAAGTAACAGTCAACACAGTCGATAAACAACACCTTCCTATAAGTGTACTAAAAGTGTTATATGAAAGTCAGGACGAACACCTGGGGATCTGACTCCTGAACTCTTTGCGAGTCGTATCATCATCACCCTACCTTGCGTAAGGGAGGGAATGATTCAGCAGATCCGGCTCCTGTCCCCTGTGGCAGAGACTCTCCTGTTATAGTCCTGCTGTCAGCTGTCCTGGGTGCCCTCTCTTTAAGATGACTCAAAAACTCTATCCACTGCGGTCACAAACCCATCATTTCAGACTATTAGTCTCCCAAAACGTCATCCACAGTGACAATTACTGTTAAGCCCCCTCAATCACACCGTTTCACAATGACTTTGTGAAATCTCTGACCATTTTGTTTATCATTAAATCAATAAGAGGCGATGTCAGTGCGACCCTTATTGACGCGTGTCACTGAGTGTTGCCTGATGCTGTGCGATCAACATTTTCCTCATCTCAAGCAGCTTTCTCCTGGAGCGGCTGATTCTGGGCTTCATATCTATTCAGACGGTGATGGAGGCCGTCCGGCTAATGCTTCATGAACATCCATAGCATCAGTCGAGCCCACTCAGGGGACTTGTGAGAAGCCTTGCCTCTGCCCTCCATACTCCATTCCAGGCTCAATTTGCTGACTTCTGGCTGCCTTCCAAGGAGGCAAATATCGTAGGGGGGGGGCTTCATCCAGTCAGTTGGTAGACTGGCAAAAAAAGCAGCCGGATACAGTTCATCCTCATTTATTATTCAGGACTCAGCATTAAAGCCAGGCAAGAGAGCCATTTGTTTCGGTAACAAATGAGAAACTTCCTCAGCCATTATTTATATTTAGTTTGGCAGAAAGGTATTTTTTCTTGTGAATGCAGTGAAGCTGAGGTACATTCAGATGTGTTGTGTCATTGCTTTCATGTTTAGCTTGCATCAGGAGTTTCTCATATCTTTGTTGTTTTCTGTAGCTACTAAGTTATTGATAGTGACTTTTCAGGCATAAACCACAACTGAAATCACATTTCAAAATGGTCGAAGATATTCTATTAGAGTTGTGCAATCAAATCTATGGCACTAATCACAGCTGAGGAGTATAACTGCATTAACCATCCGACAGTCGGATGCACAGCAGACAGTCGGATTTAACTGCATTGACTCAATATATTCAGAGTGGTCCGCCCATCTGGACTGATGGCATAATCTGTGTGCTCCTCTCAGAGGGCTGCCCTAATCTGGCATTTGGACTAAGCAACGACCTGTGCATGTGCCTGGCACACGGATTAGCATGACAGGCCGAGGTGGTTTTCCAGAATAAAACTGCATTTAAGCTGACGGTATGTTTAAACTAAGTTATGCCATAAAACATTGATTTTAATTTCTAACACAGGCCGAGGTGACACTGGGGGGCGTGGAGGATTTAGGTGTCCACAAGTCGTGTCCAGGATCGCCTGATGGTAGTGTGGGGGCACATGGGGACACCTTCCCAGCAGATGCAGGGGGACTCTTATGCAAGGAATAAAGATACAATCCAGAACTGGCTGTTTTTGTGGAGACAGAGAAAAACTGGCATGCCTCACATCTAAGAATAAAACTTAAACAAACCAACTATGAGTTTGGATAATTCCTCTGCACCATGTTGACCCACACCCCCTCTTCTCTGCTGAGGATGTGCATGACTCAGAGTCAGTCTGTCCACATACCTTTCATTGTTTTAAGAACAGTGACTGGGAGCCAGCATTGGTCCGGCTGAGCCAAATGATACACACTGACAGCCCTGAACACTAACAGTATGTGTAAACGCTGTGATTGCTGTCTGCAAAGATGAAATGTAACATGGGACTGGGATAGCACCACTAACATCTAAACCTCACTGCAGAACAGCAACATAAGTGATAATAAAATGAATGAATAATTAACAAGTATAGCGGTAACCTTTTCACTTCTCCAAACAGGCTTTTCACCATGACAACGGGTTATTTTGCAATGAACACTGTCAATTATAGAATTATTAAAAACTACAGCATAAAAAAGCATGGACATATCCATTTATGAACCATACTGTGTTCTATTGAAGTTATAATATCAATGTTATAGTCCAGTAAGAAGAAACACTAGAGCAGCTAAAGAGAGACATCCTTTCATCTTATCTCCTGCCAACTGTAACCAAGGCCAAAATCTAATCCCAAAAATACAGGCATACTGTTCTCCTCCTTTCCCTCCCTTTCTACCCTGCTGATAAGACGCAGCCCAGAGCAGGAGGGGAGGCTCTCCTTTTCCTGGCTCTTACTCAACAATCAGACTCAAAGTGCACCTTTAATGCATGCTTTATGTTTATCCTCAGTGGGAAATAAGAGAGGAATTCACAATCATCTCCAATAAGGAATGAGTTGCAGTCGATGAGTGCAGCCTTCTCAATCGATACAAGCTGATTTTTTGTGTTGCCTTTAAATCTCACTCACCTTCCACAGCTATTTTCTTTCAATCATCACTTCCGCACACCTCAGACGGTGGGCCCTGATTCCCCAATCCTGCAATGAATTTAAAAAGGCCTTCAATCGCCCGGCTGTCTCGCTCTGCACTTGGGTCAGCTCTCTAAATCCTGGCAGTTGACACCAAATCAATTACCGCATGGCGGGGGGGGGTAAGCAGAATGGGACGTCCACAAAGAACCCCAGAAACAAGGCTATATGAAGCATCCTCACTGGGTGCTGATAAGCAGTTTGCTCTTCCCTCTCACATCGTCTCTGTGCCAACAGTGCAGATTCATGTTTGCAAAGACGAGGCCCTAATCGCTTCTTCCTCTTGCATGTTCACAATATTCGCAAACAAAGCAGGGTTGGGATGCACGACAAATGAGGGGCAAGGAAGAGAGTTAGATCATGTACGGACCACAGCTAGGCCTGTTCTGTTATGTAGAAGCAATCCTTACTGAAGGAAAACACAGCCATGATTCACCTCCTATTGAGAACGGTAACAAAATATATCCAGGAAGAAGAGGCGTGATCTGATAAAACAAACATGAGGGATTTATTTTTTTCATTTTTTGATACATGGTAATATATTATTTTCTGAAAAAGTAACAACATCTATTTAAAAGTATGTAAATGGTATAATATTAAACTGATATAATGGTAGTTTATCAAGGAGCAGGGTACATTTGTGTTAGATTTACCTAAAAAAACATTTGGTCAATACAATTTCAGAAAATGCACAATTCCTAGAGCCCAATCTGCATTCAAATAAAAAAAGATTACTTTTAAAAGTAACAAATGAAAAGTCACAAATCCTTATATTTAGGAACCCTAAAACAGCAAGTATTGGGCATGTCAGGTTGATAGTCAAACTGAACACTAACAATTATTTTAAAAAAAATTGTGAATTAATTTTCTTTTTCTGTGATCCTACTTATTAACTGATTATAGTTTTGTGGTTTCATGATTACAAACTATCTAAAATAAAGCACTCAACTTAAGAGGTTTTTAAAGTCATGTCCATCTAAGTCTTGGGGCTTTTAGCAGATCTGTCACAGATCTTGGAAAAGCATTACCAATAGGAAACCTCCTGCTCATCTATTACTGTAATGACCCTGCCTCTACTTCCACACAGTGTGTTTTTATTAGACATATTGAGCTATTACTGATGTTTTAACCATGTGTCATTACCACCTCCTCATAGTTGAACGTTTCCTTTCAGAATGAAATTCAACGGCTGCATTTTAAGTAGCCCACACAGCTGGCAGCAGGAGGAAAAGTAAATGGCTCCTGAGTGGATGATAAGTGAAAATGTGTTGCTTTGTGGAAAAACGTCAGCTGTCAACACGTTGGCTTTTTCTCTCTGACAGTGTAGACAACCCTCTCTAAAGCATCTTTTATGGAGGCTTGACAATGATGTATGACCATAAAATGATTACTAACATGCTTTGTCGTGTTTCATTAAATCAACATGCGTACAAATGATTTCACAACATTCATTTGATGAGATGTCACCTTAAACCATTTACTATAATGTACATAAGTTAAACGTTTATTTAGAGCTAAAATGAAAGATCAATGAAAGATCTTTTAAGTCTTTTTTTTATACGCTAACTTAAAAATAAATTGGTTCTAGCTTATCTAATGCAAATAGTTGCCGGTCTCCTAGGATAGAATTTGAATAGATTTTTTAAATATCTTGTTTTAAAATGCCAGCTAGGACTTGTGATAAGCCCTTTTCTAAATGTTTCTATATAGAAAATATGAATATTTATGAAAATAATGAATAGCTATAGTTAGGAGGATTGAAAAAAGACTAAATATAGCCTTATTTTAATGAATGATTGTATTGTTTTAATTATTTACTGTCATGACCGAAAGAACGAGATTGCGGATACAAGCGGCCGAGATGGGTTTTCTCCGCAGGGTGGCAGGTGTCTCCCTTAGGGATAAGGCGAGAAGTTCGGTCATCCGGGAGGGACTCGGAGTTGAGCCGCTCCTCCTTCGCGTCGAAAGGAGCCAGTTGAGGTGGTTCGGGCACCTAGTTAGGATGCCACCTGGGCGCCTCCCTAGGGAGGTGTTCCAGTCACGTCCAGCTGGGAAGAGACCAAGGGGTAGACCTAGGACCAGGTGGAGGGATTATATCTCTTCGCTGGCCTGGGAGCACCTTGGGATCCCCCAGTCAGAGCTGGTTGATGTCGCCAGGGAAAAGGAAGTTTGGGGCTCTCTGCTGGAACTGCTACCCCCGCGACCCGACCACGGATAAGCGGGAGAAGATGGATGGATTTACTGTAACATACCAGGATTTAATGTGTCTAGATATTCTTAAATGCATCATAACCATAAGGAATGCCAAGAGAAAACCATGTGAACTGGAGTTTAGGTTTGAAAAAGCCAATAACCAAAACTGCTATTTTATTTGACTCCATATTAAATATAAATCTGCATAACAGACATTTTACAAACAAAAAGTGTTATTGAAATCTAAATGCATTTATTGCATGTGGAGTTGAGGTGCAGAAATGTAGCTTTTGATGCACTTCGTTTTGCAAAACCAAATTAATATTTAAAAAAACACTATTGAAATCAAATGAAATAAGAACATTTATTAAAAATGAAAGAATGAAGGTATAACTAGGAGGTTAAACTGAACATCTCCTTATAAGCTGGGAACTTACATTAAGGTCAACTCTTTTAAAATGACCATAATTATATTTTTCAAAAATAAAGTTAGCAAGAATCAGTGACCTGTCAGAATTGGATGACATAATCAAAGTAATCAGGCATTAGCTTTAAACATGATCACATACACAACAGCCTATTGTTACACACCGATATCTGTTTGACATTTCGATATGAGTGCAGAATTCAAAGTATCAGCTAGTACCCACACGCATGAAACTGTCCAGTGGGGCGAGGGGGAGAACAGAGGCAAATGAGTAGCGTCCTGTAGACGGAGGTGAGTGCACTCGGTCTGGAGGAGCTGTGAGGCTGTCACCCTGACTGATGAGGCGGTGTGGAGCTGAAGGTCAGCCCCTGAATGCCTGATGGAATAACAACCAAGACAGGAAGTGTACAGGTCCAGCCTCCTGACATCTCTCTCTCTCTCGCCACCGGTCACTCTGCAAGTTTGCTGCTGATGAATGAGAGGCGAGGAGACAGTGGCCATTTTGACTGCTAGGCCAGGTCTCATCTTTGTTTGGGACTGCAGGGGAG